GGCCATCTGCTGCAACCGGTTGGGGTGAGAGCAGGAAGACAGGCTAAAAGACATGCTGTGGAAGAGATATAGAGATAATAACAATAATCCAACAAGTGCAGAGAGGTCCATTAACACATTGAGTGAGAAAGGTGACTGAAGAAGAAACACTCAATGCATCATGGGAACCCCCCAGCAGCCTACACCTATTGCAGCATAACTAAGGGAGGATTCAGGGTCACCTGATCCAGCCCTAACTAAATGCTTTAGCAAAATGGAAAGTTTTAAGCCTAATCTTAGCAGCTTAAATCAGAATTCAGTTTGTGTTTTTGTTTATCTAGAAGCTGACCCATCGGAAATGGTAATTCTATGAATGAATGTGTTTGTCTGGCAAGGTGACCCCTCCAGTCAATCAGTGAGGACCTGTGGACTCTTGTTTGCTCCATGCTTATAGACATTACAGCTGTCTTTATGTCTAAATCTGTTTGGGGCTTATGGTAGCCTAGTGGATGAAGGCAGTGTTTATAGCATAAGCTTAGATAAACGTGTCCATCCTTCAACTTCTGACTGTGTTGTTGACCAGGGTGATACTAATGATATCACTGATTACTGTTATATGTTATTATTTTTGCACTTACAGTCTCTGTGTATGTCTATTGGAGACGGGGAGGGAGAGAATGTTGAGAAGCTGAGTTTGCTCTAGTACAAAGCAACGGGTATCTTGGGGCCTGTCACAGAGTAGATACACCTGTGATCACAGTGGCTACTGTATTTTACTATTAGTGTCTGTCTCCCAAATCCAAACTGAGACCTGGTTCCATAGAAGAGGGGCCTGAAAACTTAAGGCTCTGCCTCCCATTCTCCTTTTAAATTCTCTAAGAACAACAAGTACGCCTGCATATAAAGAGTTTTAATATTCTAGCCCCTAAATAACAAATATGGCAAAAAACAAACATAACAAATATACCCTTTAAATCACATTTATGATTCACTTTAAGAAATGCAAACCAAGTGAAAGACTTCCATATTTTTTTATATTTTGGGGGCATTTCCTTAGTCTATATTGGACAGGGACAGGTAAGCGTACAGATGAAAGTAGGAAGAGAGCAAAAGGGAATGACACACAGGAAAGGGTCCACACCGGAATCAAACCTAGGCCCCTCACACAAGAAGATCATTCTTTAATTGATGGCTGTCTGAAATATAACAGTTCTGCACTAAGGTTTTAAGTGCATTATTCAGTTTGTCATTTTCAGGTACTGCAACTGGAGTTAAATTTTTTGGAGTGTGTAGGTGCATACCTGGCTGTTGTGTTAGACGAGAAGCTGGCAGAACTGGAAGGTCTTTGGGAAAAAACCATACCGCCAGACGCATGGGGCATATGGAAAATAAACAAAAGAGTGAAACAAGTTTAGAGACAACACCAAATAGGAAAACCATAATGTCAATGTCATAACGATGTAGTGGCTCATCTGGCTCACGATTCATCACGATTCAGGGGTTCATATAATGTGTGAAGACAGAAAGAAAGTAAAATGTTTCCTTGTCACTGGTTGGCTGTTTGAGAATAGAAATTCACTGAGAAGCCAAGGACACTCGCAAACAGTCAAATCCAGGACGAAATCTCGCTCACACTGAAATGAATGAATTCTTTTTTAGAAACTGTAAGAAATGTACTTAAAAGTTATGCTATGAAAACAGGAAAAAGCAAAAGTGCTCATATAATGACAAATGTGACTTTGACCTTGAGGACAGTTTGGATGAAAACCCATCACTGTGTGCAACTTCGATTAAATTCTGACTGATATTGTAGGAGGAACAATGATTCTTGAATTGTGGATAGACACTTGGATGGAAGGACATACAAGCCTATTATTTTAGGGCACTGGTATCAAATATAAGGCCCAGGGGAGCAAATCAGCTCATCAAAGACCAATCCAGCCCTCCGGACTACTTTGGAAAATGTGAAGGAGGCACTTGATGTTAAATGCGACTGTTGTTGTGATTTGGCGCTATATAAATAAAACTGAATTGAATTGAAATGAGTTTGACATCCCTGTTTTCAGGTCTATACTTTACAATTTATAGTGCCTTGAGGTGACCGTTGTTGTGACTTGGTGCTATATAAATAAAACTGAATTGAAATTCAATTAAACTGAATTTGATGTTAAGTGGGCCAAACCAAAAATACTCCCTTTTGTGTCAGTAGAAAGAAATTAAGCTGTCCATCTAATCCCAATTAATAGAAGAAAAAGAAGTGCAACTTCAAAGGTATGTCTCAGTTTTTCAATATGATAATGAGATGCTACTGCTAAAGATAATAACATCAAATAAATCTTCCAGAATGAATAAATACAGTTGTAAAATGACAGAAAAGGTTCTGCTGGCTCAAAAATACCCAAACTCTCCTGTCTCTTTATGTTCTTGGTAAATATGGACTTGTGCATACACACAAACACAGTTACATGGTGCCTCATCACAGCAGTAAGCGATCGCCTCTTCATTAGTCCGTCACAGCTTTGGTGACAAGAGAAGGACGCGCCACTCTTGTCCCTTCCTTGTGTGTCAGTCCAAGGTAACCATGGAGATTCTTGCTCTGTCAACAGCACACTTCCACCAGCATTGATTAAAAACCTGCAGTGTGTTCTTGAGCCTCACTGTAATTGGAGGACTTTAGCACTCTGCTGTAAAGATTCACAGACTGACAAAGGGAGGAGCCTACCAAAGCACGTAATTGCAGCTGAGCTGTGCAAAATTTAAGTACTTATGCCTCTGATAAATTCTTTGTAGGAAATATATAAATAAGTTGCACAATGTTGATGTTTTAAATAATTGAAAGCTATTAATTTAACTGTGATAACTGTCCATAACTCTGCTGCTGGTTCAGGATATAAAAAAAGGAAAAGCTGACCAGAAATGTTTGGTATTAAACCCACAAGAGTATTATCAGACCATGATCTGTTTTGTGTGTTGTTCATTTTAATTAAAAGCTTTCCACTCTGCCACTTTAAATGTTAATTTGAAAGTTGGATGAGTGTGACTTAATTCAGGCAATTCAGCTTTGAACTTAAGAGAGGGTACTCCATAAAATGAGGGCTGATAATGGTTTAATGCTTAATTCTAATAAAACATACCCCAAAAATATCCATCCACCCACCCATTCATCCACTTGCTCTTGCACCAGTTTATAATCAGGAAGAACTAAAATTGATACATGCATAGAAGCAGGTGCCTCAGACATTAGCACTATTACCTCACAGCAAGGTTGTCCTGGGTTATCGAGAGCTACGGTTTCTCTGGCCATGCAAAACATATTAGGTTCATACAACTTTTTGTTCATACATTTTACAAGATTGTCAAACTAGACTCTCTGATCAATAAAGCATAATAAACATATTAAGGTTAAATATAATTTACCCGTGTCCTTCTTGTTTTTCACTAAAAACACGACTGATTGTATTTAACATTAATATCTGAGCAACAGAAAAAGCACCTGCAGAAATGCAGCAACTAAATACTAAATCATACTAAATACTAAAATCAATGCTAATAATTAGAGCTGACTCATTTTAAGACCGATATCAATACCAATATTTGGTGACCGAAAAATCCAATATTCTAATATATATTTTTCTTTGAGACACACAAAGCAGTTCCCAAATATTTGTAAGTTTGGTTGTTTATTTATTTTTTATTTATTTAGTTTATGCTCTGAATGAGTCTTCCAGGATCAGCTGTTTCCAAAAGCATTTATTGCCAAAAGGGAAGTTGTACAGTGCCTTCTGGTGGACAAACTCTGGAACATCAACACTTATACCATGGTTCAAACGTGTTTTTTCCCCTCTCTCTTCTTTACGTTTTTAATTTTCATTTATCAGACATTTTAAATGCAGATACTGACAGATCAGCAAATAGCTAATATTGAATAATATTATCAGCCCTGGTTGGGCTCTAACAATAATAATGGCTTTTTGAAAATTTCTAACTATAGTTATTTTTGCCAGCGACTATTTTGGATATCAGTGAGTGATTACCTGTCATAGAGCAAAACTTTTTCTATATATATTATGAGCATCTCTGAATACTATCAGGGAGGAATCCCCTTCAATTGGTTTTCAGGACTCGAATTTGAAATGGAATAATGATAACTCAAAGCTACAGAATCTTGGAATGATAACTAAACAAGAAGCAAAGAGCATATGTACAGATGTATTATGATTACAGCCTTCTCAGATCAATTTCAAAATCAAAGGAATTAAAGATTAGTAAATTCAAATTAAATCTCTAGTCTCAATCACCACAGCCTCAAAACTGAGAATATGGTTTATGTAGACTCCTTAAAACAGACTAGAAACTGATGAGTATTTATAAAATAAAATGCTAAGAGGAAACATTTAACTGGATGAATACCCCAAGCACATCCTTACTTACATGGATGTGCTTGAATTAACCTACCAAGAGCAGACACTAACACACACACACTCAAAACGGGCTGGACACACACACAAGTTACCAACTCTGGTTACAGCACACAGTCACAGCCTGATGCTCTGAATAAGTAACGACATGGTGGCAGAAACATGAGCAAGAAGAACATTGAGTCATTCAGCGACCTGAAGAAAGATAGTAATGCTGACCTCAATCCTAACACAGGCAACTCTGTAATTCCTTATTTCTAAAAAGACTATCCTGCTAGGAGAATTAAAGCAAAAGTTTCTTTAACTGCATCTGTTTTAATGCAGGAGGCAGCTGTCTTGCTTAAAGAAAGAAACCACAAGTCTTAAAGAGCACACAAGAATGTATATTCTGAAAAAAACTCTACTACTGAGATCAAAACATACTGCATGTACGCGTGCCATTATGTCCAACTACCTGTATGACCAGCGACTGTAGGCAGGCTGAGATCCCTCGGTCTTTACAGTGTCCATGGATGCAGCTTCAGGAATGCCAGTCCAAATGTCTCTTATCTATAACAAAAATCTTCATTTACACTCGGGGTCTTACTTACTGCTCAGTTCTACCCATTTGTAAGCCTACAGACTCAAAGATCTCTGCTAGTGTGTCACTGAGAAAGAGTAGATGTCCCACCCATGGGAGTGACAGCTACCACTGCTGAGGTACTCTGAGGTTGTGAGGCTTAGTGCTGTTACCATGACTTCACACTTGAGGCAATGCGCAAGGATCCAGCTAGGGATAGGTATGGAAGTGACAGTTTTGAATGTCAGAGTACTGCAAAAGATCAGGCAGAGACAGAACTGAAAACATATAGTCTGAAAAAGCACTAGGGTAAGTTGTTTTAGCCTGATTATATTTTAGATATAAAGTCACTCTTTAAAGGTTGCTATCACTAAGTTCCCACAATACCGTCCACTAACTACTGAGAAAGTCAGCACTTGCATTTGGCTCATTTTCTCTGACTCATAGGGGGGCCACCGCACGTATAGTATGAAACCAGACTGCAATTCTGAGCTATGCAACAGTGAGACTGTGTTGAGCCTTAAATAGTCCAAATCTTGTCAAAACTAATTCCCAAACTACCTTCCTGGATCACTCTAAGATTACATTTTTCATTGTGGAACTGAGAAGCATACACAGTTTTAAGAAAGTTATCTGAATAAAATTAAACCTATAGATTACAACATCTAAAAACAGATACAGTGGGAGGACCTTTGTGTGGTTGCTAGGCGACCAGAAGCTGACATTTGTTTTTCCTGAGGCTATTTGGAAGAGAGAGACAAAATAAAAATCAGACAGAAAATGAGGCATGTATTGTGTATGTTTGTTCTTAGAGAGAGAGCAGTAAACTCGCAAATACGTTAACTCATGATAAGCAGGGGAATCATTCACCCGTGGGAGTAATTATTGAAGTCAAAACAAATAATGGAAATAAGCTACCCTTGGGATGCCAAGTGACACAGTCCCCTTTTGACTCTTTCACAATTATGTTTTACTTTATTTAGGCAACAAACAAAAAAAAGCAAACTCATGTCCATTAGCGCTAATTCTTCATAATCAACAAAGAATGACGAATACAGATATATTTATTAATTTAGTTGACTGCTTGCAGTGCTGTACTATTCAACAACAAAAAAAGTGTATAGCTTACAAAAACCAGAAAAGCTACTTTAGTCTCTAAATGCATGAGAAACCGAGTGGACTACGCCTGCCAGCTGGGCCATTTGGAATTCACTGGACAGCCACAGTAAATCACAACTGGACCACAAGTCGTTCATGCAGTTGCAGAGGTTAACCGCTATCCTTGTAGAGAATTTTTTTAATTGATTGATTTATAACAATGTTCAACTAAGATGGCGTACTAACTTCAATATCACCCCAACTGCTCGTGCAGAACTGCACACATTATATGATGCAGGCAGCAGGTTGGAAAGGAAATGTTTCAAAGGAATTTATGCATTCCTGGGAGCATTACTGGAAGCAGTAATATTGTAATTGTATATAGCATGTTGCGTGCTCAGTTACAGTAGAAAAGTATTATATAAGAACACGTCCATAATAATCATCAGCGAGTTTGACTATAAAAGCAGAGGTTTTAGCAGTTTGCTGATCTGGAGCATTCAGGTGTGTGTTAACACAATATTGCAATTTTTCCAGGAGTGGATATCCTAGCAATTTCACCATATGCTCTGAGAAACTGCAAAGATCCCAAGTTCCAATATAATTAGAAAAAGACTAAACAACTCTGGGTTGTTTGGACAGATTACACAGAAGAAAGCCTCTTTTCTCTAAAATGAAGATGGCAACATGGTTAAGGTTTGCAAAGTGGCATCTGAACAAACCACAAAACTTCTGGAACAATGAATAGACGAGACCGAAGCACAGATGTCTGGCCATAACGCAGTGAAAGCCAAACACAAAACACCTCATACCAACTGTCATACCAACTGACAGTGATGATTTGGGCTTGTTTTGTTGCCACCTGAACACCTTGGAGTCACTGAATCAACCATGAGCTCCTCTATATTTTAGAGTGAAATCTGAGGCCATCTGCCTGATAGTTAACCTTGTCTAAAACTGAGTATTGCAACAGAACAATGGTCTTAAGCACAGCAACAAAAACTACAACAGAATCACTGACAAAGAAAAGAATCAAGGTGTTGCAATGGCCTAGTCAAAGTCCAAACCTCATCCCAAGACATTCCTCCTCAATAATTCCACATTTTCACAAGCTACTGAATGTTACTGAATCATACAAAGAAAATTTAGACACAATAGGTATAAAAGAGTCTTTGTAGGACTAACTTTAGTTTCCAACAGGAAATATTCAGAAAAAAAGTTAGCTATAATTAACTTTAGGCTGAAGATTCCATGCTAACACTTGTGGTCCTCAAATGTCATCTAAGAAAAGGGGTTTCATTTTACCTCAGGTTATACATAACACTCTACCCCACAGTCCACTGAGTGTAAACACAGGGGCTCACCTGCTATCCTCAAATGATGTGTGGAGGCCCACTGTGTGTGCTGTGGGGCTAGTTCCAGTGTTCCTGTAGGATTTTACATAGAGCACAAATTATTATTGCAATATATTTCACACACAGTTATGAATTAACTGTTAGATTACTGCATCAGTACTTTGTACTAATTTGTACTCATTTTTCCTTAAAAAAAACTTTAGTAATTATAAAGGCTGATCAATTTCTTGTGTGAATTAACCCACAATTAAAAACAGTGCAGGTGACCCACCACTAGAGAGAGAAAAGGGAGAAAAAAGTACAGCAAAGGCTACCTGGGAAGTAAACAGCCTTCATCCTGAGTAATTCATCTGATCTGCTGGGAGACTCTGGTTAATGCTAAACTAAGGAAGCCCTGGGAAATCTAATAATATATATAATAATAAATATTTCTCCTCTGAGAAATATTTGTTTTTTATGGGGGTTTTTTTGTTTGTTGTATGAAAGTAGTTGATGAATGGAAAAGCAGTAAAAGCTAATAGAGTATCCTGTTATGTATAGATGCTGCAAAAAGGCCATCATATACAATATACAATCTAAAGAAGAATGGTAAATGGCCTGTATTTGTATAGCGCTTTACTACTCCCTAAGGACCCCAAAGCACTTTACACATCCAGTCACCCACCCATTCACACACACATTCACACACTGGTGATGGCAAGCTACAAGAACTGATGACATGTCAGATTACACAGAGGCAGTTTTGCCTCTACGCACTGAAATTTTGGTTTGTGTGCACACTGGGATAGAACAACAGGGATAGAAAATTGTGAGATTTTATGAACAAGGAAAGTGTACATTTCATTCATTCATCACTCCTTAAGTTGCAGCACAAATAAATACCAAGAGAGTATTTCCAGAGATATTACAGGAGGCAGAAATGGTATTCAGACAATCCAACAATGAATAGAAATCTAAAGGAGAATTTAGTAACACCAAAGATAGTGGCTGATCAAGATCAACTTTAGTATCCCCGAGGGGCAATTTGCTTTGTAGCCAGCCAAGATGTGCCAAGAAAAACACAAATCACATCATAGAATTTTAAAAATGAATAGTGGTAGGAACAAATTGGAATTTAAATCTATTTGTTCTGCAATTAGGCAAAGAATACCTCCTCCCTTAAGTCAACAGCTGACACTCTGAAAACACAGGATGTGTGCTATCACCCGAATTTTTTCTCCCTTCAATTCTGCTGCGCTGCCTCCAGGAGGGCAGATCATCTAGCTTTATACCTGCCACTTTACTACACAATTTAACAACATGCTCCAACCTCTTCTTGTTCTTCAAGCTAAGAGACCCAAACCAGCAGATTGAAGAAAAAGTTAAAACAGACTCAATAAAAGACAAATAGAACATTTTCCTAAAGACATTATCCAAATTAAAACCCCTAGGTTTCCGATACAAATACTCATGCTGGTTCCTAAAATATACAAATAAAGCTGGTTTTAAGAAATATTACAGCAACCTCACTACATAAATGACAATAAAGCACCATTATCTGAACACACACAGTAACTACACTAGGGTTTGATGTGTGCATTTTCTGTGCTAGCTCCCTAAGCAGGCAAGCTGTCGTCAAAACTTTGAAAATCTCTGCTAAGCACTAGCCTGGCACTGTTTGTGCAGTGCGACAAATAACAAAACTCCACCAGCCTCGCACTTATAACGCTACACTCATGTTATCAGCACTTGAAACATTACAATGGTGATACTGTTATGAAAACTGTCATTCTGCAAATGTGTCAGCTCTGCATGGAGACTCTGGGATTTGTAACTACTCCAAGCTGCCAAGTGACTCAGCAGTCACTGAAGAAATACGAAGGACACAGCATTCACTGCATCAAAGAATAATAATACTAATAATA